TGCACTGCAGCCAACGGAGGGGGGGGGGTGTTTATTTTTATTTTTATATCTATTTTTAGGGTTTAGGGTTTAGGGTTTAGGTGAATCTAGTTTTTTTTAGTTTTGGTTTAGGGTCACGCAGTTAAGGTTTAGGGCCTATTAAGAGTTCATAAGTACAGGGTATCCCGTTGTAGAGATTGGGTTTAGGGCTTATTTGGTCCTTTAGTTGTATTTCGATCTCGGGGCGTCCGATGGGCAGCATCACGTGCAATTGGGGTTTCAGAGATTGAAACCCGGGGATTTGCTTCGATGCGAGCTTCGAGGGCATAGAGGGTCTTTGATCTTAACTCTCAGCGCACAAGGAGTTGATGGTTCCGATTGACCTTTAGGTGTACATTTTTGGGTTAAAAGTTTAGGGGCCTAAACCCTAAACCCTAAACCGAGGGTTTGGTGGGCCACAAGGCAACCCAGCGTGGAAGTATGGAGTCAAACCGACGGTCCAAACTCGCAGCCTGAACATAACCGCCTGAACTCCGCTGAACTCTAAACCCAACAACCCGAACCATTCACCCAAATCTTGCCCCTAAGCCCTAAACCCTGATCAAACCCTAAAGATTTAGGATTTAGGGTTTAGGGCTTAGGGCCTAAACCCTCAAACATAATCACTTAATAAGCTCCTCCGGCCTAAACCCTGATCTAAACCGTTGCCGGTGGCAGCATCCCAGGATCTTCTGGGAACATGGAGACAACTGGTTCTTCCTGAGCAACCTCGGTGGCATTGTGTCTGGACCTTGGTACCATAGGGTTTAGGGGTTCAGGGTTTAGGGTTTATCTTGAAGTGTCCAAAGAATAGTAGGAACTTGGGTTTAGGATGGTAGTACTGTTCGCAAATTCGTCGGGGGGTATCAGATACTACGTGGGCTCTTAGGGTCTTCCCCTGAAAACTGGAAATATCAATCGGTGAAAAGAATGAAGTGTGGTCACGCTACGCAAGCTTCTGCTATCCCGATTGTCCATGTTGCCGATTCCTGCTTTGCACCCTCAACCCTAAACCCTCAACCCTAAGCCCTATAAACCCTAAACCGCACCCTCAAAACCCTAAACCCTAAACTCCCAAGCAATCCGTAACCAGAGGAGCCTGAGAAGGCGATCGGTAGTACTCACCGAAATCCTACTTATACTATTTTAGGGGCTCCTTACTATAATAATTGTATAATACAGGGGCCGTAATAGTATTTTTGGGGTGGGTTCCTTATTATACTTATAGTATAATAGAGGGGCTTTAATACTTACCTATAGTATTTTTTGGGGGGGTTCCTTGTTAGAATTATTGTATAATGTACCCCAAGACTCTATTCTAATTATTATAAGGCCCCTATATTACTGCCTCGGACCCTCTTCTATTTACCTTCCTAAAACCCTGTTCTAATAATTAAGGCCAATGACGTCCCCTCTACCCTAAACCCTTATAGTAGCCCTTATAGAACCCTTTAAAGAACCCTTTAAAGGAACCCTCTTCTAATTATTCAGGCCCCTAAAATTATGCAAGGCCTAAGCCGGTAGTTCTGTTCCACAGCCTTAGCCTGAAGCGTCTTCAGCCGCAGAGAGAGAACCCTAAACCGCAAAAGCCCTAAAAACCAGAAAAACCCTAAAAGCCGCCAAAAACCCTAAACCCTAAACCTTCTAAACCCTAAACCCTAAACACCCAAAAAAAACCCTAAACCCAAAACCCGGTGTTTTGCCAAGGTTGGGGCTCTTGTGGACGGCAGCTGGACTCCCAGTGCCCTTGGTGTAACACTCCCCAACCCAAGACTTGAAGCCAACCGGAAGCCCCAATCTGTAACCCTATAAACCCGAGGCCCTAAATCCTAAGCCCTAAAAACTAAGCCGTGGTGTCTTGGGGCTCTTGGGGCTGTGGAAATCCGAAGAGAATTTCAAAAGATTTGGGGTTTAGGGTTTAGGGTTTAGGGCTTTGGGCTGAGGGCTTCGGGTAATCTTATTCCTGAGGGTTCCTTGTCATACGCCTGCTAATGTAGAAGCCTCAAGAGTTATGTTATGTACCAACCTTATTCCTGAGGGCTCCTTGTCATAAGTATGCTACAATAATATACCCACAAAACATATTGTAAGTCTTTCGGCCCCTACATTTTCACACAGTTCAGGCTTCAGGGTTTTTGATGTAGCCTCATTTCGAGCAACCTGGCTGACAGAAAGCTTGTGGCGGAGAGGAAGTAAGCTTCATTGCAGCCCTTGAACGGGAAATACTTGGCTAAACCCTAAACCCTAAACCCTAAACCCCTAAACCCTAAACCCCTAAACCCCACACCCCTAAACCCTAAACCCGAATCTTGGAAACTTAGATCTTATCAGGCCTCGAGCCCGAAGCCATGAACTGATTCGCGACAGCATCCCGCAACAGCAAGTGTAAAGTTTAGGGCTTCGGGGTTAAAGGGTTTGGGGCTTAGGGTTTAGGGTTTGAAGTGTAGGGTTTAGGGGTTTAGGGCTTCGGGTTTAGGGTTTTAAGTTTAGGGTTTCGGGGTTTAGGGGTTTAGCAACGCCCCTGCCATAAAAAAGAGCCTTCTGTCCCTGGGTTTGAGGTTAAGGGTTAAGGGTTTAGGGTTTAGAGGTTTAGTGTTTAGGGTTTAGGGCTTGTCAATCCCCGAATTTTGCTGGAGCGCCTTCATGTTGGGATCGCGGATGTAACGACCAAGCACAGCTGTAGCGGAGCTTTGGGCGAGTGCTCAGGCTCCTGCAGAAGGACGTGAGGCATTTGCCTTGACAATCACAAACTAGGGAGGTTTGGTTTAGAGTTTAGGGTTTAGGGTCTCGGAGCCTGAAACCCGCAAAACTACGCCCCATGCACAACACACACACACACACACGCACACACACCCCTAAACCTTAAACCCAAAGCCCTGAAACCCGAAACCCTAAACCCCTAACCCTAAACTTTAAACCCTAAACCTAATGATAATTGAGGAACCATAAAAGCAAGACGCATAGAGCCGAAGGTCGAGTTCTACAAGATCTTGCGTGACGAGAACAAAGATGCATTGCTGGGAGCTCGTTGTGTGATATATACGGGTTTAGGCTTTGGGTTTAGGGTTTAGGGTTTGGGTTTTAGGGTTTAGGGTTATATAGGGGCTTCACCAACTGGCAATGCTACGGTAGAGAGTATGCGGCAACCTGAAACCCATTCAGAATGCCTGGGCTTCTGTAAGAACTTGTGCAAGCTGCGGTGTATTTCGCATTGACCAGGTCGATGTTTGAGGCGCAAGTCCTCGAAACTCCAACTATCTCTGGTCAGCATGAGACTTGATTCATTATCTTAGTTCTCCAATGCCCAACCTTTAAACTTTTTGGGTTCTTATAGTTTAGTAGTAATCTGAAAGTTTAACCTTTTATTTCCCTGGCGTATTGGAGAAGTAGGTTGTTCAAGCTGTCTTGAGGACAGCAGAGGGTTGAAATGCAGTCACCTATGAAGCCTCCTGGAGCGGTGAAGCCCCAATAATTATACAGAAGTGTCCCTAAAATCTAAACCCTAAACCTCTAAACCTCTAAACCCTAAACCCTAAACCGTTACAGAAGTACGTATTCCCAGACCTTGGCGTGATTCTTCACTTCAGCCAGCCCTAAACCTGAAACCCTACAGAGGTCACGAAACTCCATCAACAACCCTACTTTCCGGTGGACCCAAAGCCAACCCTAAACTCTTGACCCTAAACCATCAGCCCTAAACCTCAAAACAACCCTAATCCTCAATCCCAAAACCCTAAACCTACACCCTAATTCATCCCTATGTAGCTTCAACCCTAAGCCCTAGACCCTAGACCCCTAAACCCTAGACCAACGGCGGCCTTCCCGCACCCAGGCCCGGCTGGCAGGTCTTGATGGTCGGACTGCCATGCGCCCAATTGGGTGTAGGGGTTTGGGCTTAGGGTTTTGGGTTGTGAGGGTTTAGGGCGTAGGGTTCAGGGTCTGCAGTTTAGGGTCAGGATTCAAGGTTCGAATTTATGGTTTAAGGCTGGGACTTTAGAGCCTTGGGTTAGCGGATGTGTTGGAATTCCATGCTGTAGGTGCAGGATTTAGATTTTGTTTTGACGAAAACCAAGATGTGAGAAATCTGGTTGTTTGAGGCTCAGTGACGAACGGCGCATTCAGGGTGTCCACTTGAATTCATAAGAGCTTGCTTTAGTGGGAGCTTTTCAGCCCCTGCAGAAAGGTCCTGCTCTTCAGGAGCCTTGAAAAACCCTAAACCCTAAACAGGAAACCTCTGGGTGCGGAATATGCTTCGTCGTCCAGTATGTCTTCGTGATTGTCGAGCTCAATGGTGCGAGTTTGCTTGACGTTGTCTGGGTTTTGAGGGATGTGCCTTGACTTTGACATGGTCGATCTCGCTGGTTCTTGTTTCACCTTCTACGAGCCCAAGGAGGCTAGTGCGGAGGTAAAAGTCCGACTACCGTAGAACCAAAAAAAACAGGAAACCTCTAAACCCTAAACCCCCAAACAGTAAACCTCTAAACCCCTAAACCCCCAAACCCCTAAACCCCCCCCTAAACCCCTAAACCCCTAAACCCCCAAACCCCCAAATCCCCAAACCCTAAACCCTAAACCCTAAACAGTAAACCTCTAAGCCCCTAAACCCTAAACCCCTAAACCCTAAACCCTAAACAGTAAACCTCTAAACCTCTAAACCCCCAAACCCCTAAACCCTAAACCCTGGCCATGAAGTCTCGCTGCTTTCGGCTCCACAGGTGTCGCAGCCGCGGAGTGGACAGATAACCGGAAGTCTTCTGGGGGTTTAGGGTTTAGGGTTTAGGGTTTAGGGTTCAGGGTTTAAGGTTTAGGAGTTTAGGGGTTTATGGGTTTAGGGGTTTAGGGGTTTATGGGTTTAGGGGTTTTGGCGTTTAGGGGTTTAGGGTTTAGGGGTCCACAAAACCAAATTTGGGCGGAGATCTGCGGAAGTCTTCTGATACTTTTCTGCAGAGCTCCTTCGGCCATGAGCGCTGCGAGGCTCGCACATGCGATCGTGTTGCAGGCAGATTCACGAGCAGAGGAGATGCGGAAACACATTGCAACCGAATTCGCTGACTATTACGTCGAGGCAGAAAAAAGGCGGAACGGGCGCCTGGGTTATCGCGCAGTCAAGCATGATCGTTCTGAAGGGCGCACACGTCGAAGTAAGAAACATGCATGAGCTATGTCGCGAACTTCGTCCGGGAGCCGGCGCCGGTACCCATACCATCTTTCGCTCATTTGCGCAGCTTCTCAACTTCATGATCTTCAATGGCTATGAATGCTTGAGCAGCAACCCTGTTGATTGTCAGAATGCTGGAAGAGTTCTGATGAGAATTCGAGTTCCGCGCGCATTCTTGCAGGCCAATCCGACTGCGCTGTCCTGAGTCCGAATCCAGGGGATGGATTGCTGCCGCTGCTCAACATATATTCTTTTTTGGGTGAAGAGTCGGCAAGCATACATCATTAAGCCATTCCAGTTCCCAGCCCAGAAGCAGGATGGAAGTTGTTATGATCTCGTTGCAGAAGATTTTAGTCAGTGCTGCCAGCTTGGATCCATGACCTCAGAAGCCTATGCGCAGTGAGGCTGATTTTGCCCATGGAGCCCACATGTCAGCCAGGACGAAGCAGCAGAAGACTGCCTGTCCCATGTTCTTGGATTCTTATGGCAGAGAAATGAACTTACTATGCGAGCCTGGAAAATTACCTATACTATTCTGAAAAATTACCTATACTTGTTCTGGGAAGTTACCTATGCTATTTTGGGGGCTTCCTTTTTAAAATTGTACCATGAAGGAGCCCCCAAAACCCTACTCTAATTCTGAAGGCCCCTACATTACCTCTTCGCTCCATGTCAATGCAGCCTTTCTTCAGCTTTGGTTGTAGCACTCAAGATTAGGGTTTTAGGGTTTAGGGTTTAGGGTTTAGGGGTGAAGCTGAATTTGGAATGTTCTCCCTCGATAGGGTTTAGGGTTTAGGGTTTAGGGTTTAGGGTTTAGTTGCTTTGGAAGATAATAAGGGACCCCCATGAAGCAGCATTCGACATGAACTCCAATAATATGACTGCCTTTTGTGTTGAGAGGTAGCCTCTCCTGATGAGAGCGGGGAAGCAGCAGTTCCAAGTAAGCTGTCTGTCTGTCCCTCTCTCTTCGTTTGCGGTTGCACATGGCTGTGAGTAACTACTCACAGATGAAACATGACAACATCTCGGTTTATAGATCGACCTAACCCTAAACCCTAAACCCTAAACCCTACATATCAGCAGACGCACCAAACAAGCGGAGCGCTATCTTCCCAGATGCTACTTGCGGCGGCAAAGTGACTGTACTCAGGTTGTTGCCACTTGCCGGCCTACATGCCCCGGCCTTTGAACGTTGAGGGTTTAGGGTTTAGGGACGAGGCTTTCTGTCGGGCATTGGAGACTTCTCTGCATCCAAGCCATAACAAACCAATGACTAAGGAGAGGAGAGCTAGCAGGAATGGTAACAGCAGCAATGTTGATAGTATCGACCCCTACTCGAACCCCTAGAAATGACAGCCAGTACTACAATCCTATGCGCACCATAGCTAGAAGGGGCAATCCTTTTTTTGGAGCAGGGAACAAAGCTTTTAAAGACCCAAGCCCTACACCTGCAACCCCTTAAACCCCAAGCCCGTAGCCCGTAACATAAGCAACCCATCCCGAACCTCAATCTCTACCATGAACTCAAAACCACACTAAGATGCTCCAAACCAGAGCCCATTATTTGGGAGTCAGAAAATGCTAGTCCCGATGACAGACTCCCAAGCAGTAGGACCGTGGTTCAGTTGAAAAAAGGATCCCTCAGCATAAGGTCCCTCCCCCGCACCTTAAACCCCAAACCGTAGTACAGACACCAATTCCCGAAACCCAGTAAAACCCTAAACCCTAAACC